TTAGCTAGTATACAATTTGCTAGATTAATTTAATTATTAGTTCTATTTTCGTTTATTTGTTTTGTTAATTAGTTTGATTATGATTTTTATGCATTATATTATAGCTACCTTAATATTTGATATGTCAGGCTAAATTATTAGTGGGGTAGGGAGATCAATTATGCATTGGATTATTGGATTGTGAGAATTGATATGTTGTAGTTCTTGGGTAGTATGTTTATATTCTTAATTGGTTTGATAATCCGCTTGAATATTATGAACTAGTTGATTATGTTTGAGACAGGCCATCTTTAGTATAATTTGCTAGTTTGATGACTAGAGTATTAGCTTGTGATCCGTAATTGTTCTAGTTAATATCATTAGTAGTGATTAGGTGTTTGATTGGTGACTAAAACTTGTCGTAACACCTAAGATTATCAACCCTTTGAGTTGCACAAGTCCGAGCTTGTGAGATTTGTGGCTTAAGTTAACTACTTCCTTGTTATTAATGCGGCTAATTAATGGAGTCTAGAGAGCTTGTTTTAGATTATTAGTTAGTTAGACAATATTCCGAGAGATCGTTTGGTGTATTTGCAATTAAGGGAGGTTTTGAATGCTTGTTTGTGTTCATTGGTTAATATTAAGATATAAACGTAATTTGTATATTTGATAAGCAATAATTGATACTCCAATGTTATAATACATCTCCCGATTCCTATTTTATTATTCTTGTTATTATCGTATTTCAATTTTTATTAGTTTATTTCTCCGTACTTTATTTGTTATCTAGTTAGTAGTTTATTTATTAGATCATATCATTATTTCTTCAAAACAGGAGTTTCTAACTTACACAAGTAATAATTTGATAATCCGATTCTCCGTGGGATCGACCCTAGCTTACCCGACTACATTTTAGGAGGTTTTAGTTAGGTTTATTTTTGGTAGACACGTGACAGTCATATCATGCCACGTCACATTTGTGAGGGGCAAATGTTTTGGGTAATTTTTACCCGAGCCACGTAGGCCAACCATGTAGTGACACATGCCAGACCTAGATTATTCCGAATTGGACCAATTTCCATTTGTCACGTGTTATTATCAGAATTTGGGAAAAAAAAGGCGGCCTTCAGGACCCAAATCACGAAAAAGCCGTAATTTGGCGCCGCAACCCATCAAAATTAGGTCAGAGTGACTTAATCAAGGGCACATTTACCAATGACCCTATAAATAGGGAGATTCCCCCCATTTTAGGGACATCTACAATTTATTACAGCATACCCTACATTTTCTCACATTAGAGAAAACACCTGATCTCGGAATCCAAGAAGATCTTACTCTTACCTTTCCGCACTTTTTACATTCTCCAACACATTCTAACTTGATCGTCGGAGGCGGAGCTCCAACCACCCGGAGTCTCCGTTAGGTATAGGCGCCACCGAACCAGTCTTCGAGCTATAACTCTCCCGAGGGACAAAAACACCCAAAACAGATACTGATTGAGGTCAATTGGCACAAAGAGATTGGGTACTTGTTCAACACCTTTACCACGAAAGGGTGCAGAGGAAACCGAAGCCCATAATGAAGTTGCCGAGTGTATACCCCAACATAGCTAGTGGGAGGATGATGAATTATATCTTTAGCGGTGGGCATTCGACACTAGTGCCATCTTCTTCCATGATACCATAGAACCATTATTAACCCACCAATCATAGGGCTCGCATGTCATCAACCCGTAATTCTGAGTCACGTCGTCCCATTCTTCGGCTCCAGGGGTAAATCCCAAGGCTCTGGAGCCAACAGTTCGCCTCGGCCAAAGGTACTAGCCTCCCCCGTTCCTCGGAGAGGAACCAAAGACAGCGGCAATGCCCTAATTCCTGCCTCCGCCGGAACCTCTCTCCTCTCCCTAGGACGAGGGTTCTGTCCACTCAAAAAGGGCATCATGTTCAGTGGCCCAGTACGCTGAATCTGAGGTCGAGAAACCTCTTCTTCTCCAATCTCTGCTCCCCTTGGTCGCCGTCTCTGATCTCTAGCCATTCCGGTCACTGGAATATCGAAGAAAACGGAAAAAGAGAAAAAAAAAACTTGAAAAAGCAAGGGTAACCCAGAAATCAACCAAAACCGAAGAAAATTCAGGAAAAATTACCTTTATCTGAAGCGGAATTTGCCGATCTATGAGTTCAGGTCAACAAATTTGCGTTTCGGAGGCTAAATCTCAGCCAGTAAGTGGAAATTGGAAGTACAAGGATATGCTGTGGAGTTTTTCGTGAATTCAAAAGTGTTTGGAAAAGAAATGAGGAGAGAGAGAGGGGCGGCCAACTTAAATATTTCCTAAAATGGGAATTTTGGGAGTCCGTGCCATTAAACTCCTACTACTCACTCTAAATAACCGTTAAACACCTCTGACTCAATTAAACAGCCCACTAATCCTTCCCACTTCCCTAATTACTCTCCAAACAGCAGTTATTCATCAATAACTATCAAATTTAAATTCCTAATCAAACCATTTACTTTCCTCCATTTTTTGCAAGTCAAAATCCGATCCGTCATGCTTCCAAATCGGGTTTGGGGGCAAGTTATTTGGGTCCAATTTACTTTAATTGGGCTAGTCCATAAATGGTTCAATAACAAAGCCCAAGGTCAAGGTTCAACTCTCCTTTTAAGGCCAAGTCAGTCAAAGGCCCAGTCAACGTGGCCAACCCACTTGACTCAAAGCCCATTTGTCCCTTATGTCAAGGTATAAAAACATTCAATCTTCTCTCTCTACATTCATTCACTTATTAGCCTCAAGTAATTAATACTCTTGCATAGTTTTCTCTCTCTAAAACACTGTACTGACTTTGGCATCGGAGGGGCCTTCCTCGGCACAACCCCCGAGGCCAGTTTACATGTGTTTGCTATGCAGGAAATCCTTGACCCAACCATCACTTGGACCGAGTTTAGTTTTCAGCCCATCAGAAATGACCTATTCGAAGGTCTCATTGTTTTCACCAGAAACATCTTGTATATTTCAAAGAATTATTAGGTAATTCAAAAATGGGAGTAGAGTAAAAGAGCTTTCTAACGATAAGTCATCCACCCAATTTGAGCAAGAAACAAAGAAGTCATGTGCATTTGAAGCTTTAATTCCCATCTTACAATCAGGATACACAAACACACATATATATCAACATTACAAAATATGTGGCTTGAACTTTGAAGATTGATCATGAAATTGAACCTTTACTTACAATATTTTGCTCTAATAATAAAGAAATATACTACCTCCGTTAAATGTTTTCTGCAACTTTGGGGGACTTTACGGTTCACGATGCAAAATTTGATAATGGTGATTAATTAAGGTGGAGAGAGAATGTTTGGATAATTAATCAACCACCCATTGCCACCATCAAGACCAGCAACATCACCAACTGCCACCACTAAGACCAGTCAATAGTCTAACACCACCAACACCGCCTTTACCAACACCACCGCCGCCTTCAACGCCGGCTTCACCACCAACCCATGAAACCAACTCCACTACCAATCCCACGAAACCACGACCACGACCACTACCAACCCTCATGTAACCACCACCACTACCAACCCCCACAATACCACCACGAAAATAAAAACCCAGAAAATCAAAACCCAGAAATCTAGAAAATCAAAACCCACCCACGAAAATCAAATCCCACCCACGACAATCAAAACCCAGAAAATCCAACACACGACAAACAAAACCCAGAAAATCCCACCCCCAAGAAAAACAAAACCCAGAAAATTCAACCCACCATTTTCACGAAACCCCCCATAAGTCCGACCCACTGCAAAATCATCACCATCAATTCAACAAACCCATTAAGAATTAAATTTCAATTTCTTGAAAGTTGAAGAGAGAGAAAGAAGATCTAAAAAATATGAAGAGAGATAATGATATTGAAAGAGGAGAGAGAAAATATGGGGGGATGATGAAGATGCAGATGAATGAAAAAGAAGATGAATGTAGATAGTTTTGGGTTTCCTGGGTTGAAGATGAAGAATTGATGAATTAGATTGGGTTGGTTGGGGTGAAAATTGGGTGAGGAATTAGTGATTAATTAAATCTGATTATAGTTAGTAAATTGTGTTTTAATTTTTTTTTAATGAGGGTAAAATTGACTTTTGACTAGTTTTTTTTTTTTACTGAAAGAGGGAAGAAATTTCTTGGTTGCACATAATGTTTAGCGGACAAAAATAGTAAAAATTGCAGATAACATTTAATGGAGGTAGTATGTACTCATGCATTATTTACTTTTTCCAGTGTCATAAAATTACTTAGGAAAAAAAAAAATTGAAGCTCAAAATTACTACACAAATTTTTTTTAATTTCATTTCTGCACAGTTTAGGCTTGTTTTTAGTTAGTAGTACCATGCTTTCACTTACACTTTTAAGTGCTAATTGCCCATTCTTAGGTTGGCGAGCAATAATCTTTTCGGTGCTTTTTTCTGCGTGGTTGGCCACATTGTGTGGCCAAGGTTACTTATTATTAAGGGGTTACTTATCTAGGGACTACTCGGTCAATTAAGGTTTATTTATTCTAGGGTGACTCGGTCAATTAATGCATTTTCGCCAGAGTTACTTATTCCACGGTTACTTTATTTAGGGGAAACTCAATCGGTTAGAGGTTACTTATTCTATATTTACTCAGTCGATTAGTGCGTTTTCTGTGTGAAAGTAATCCCTTACGGACCGAGTAAACCTTGAATACTTAATCCCTGACAAAACGAGTAACCCTTGAATAAGAAATCCCTACCTAAATACATAACTCCGATCACACGGTGTGACTAGCCACATATAAAAATTTGTGTTATCTTTTGATAAGTTCATCCTGAAAAATATAAAGTTTATACAAACATGTTTGTTTTCTAAGCAAAGTGTAAGAACATATAAATGACTAATGAAAATAGAAAGACCGTTCCTCATGTTTTATCTATTCCACTACCACTTGCACAAACACGACTTTTATGGGCTATGAATTGAGCAACTATCGATAACCACAATATAAGCAAACACAAAACCATCATTAATCGTTCTTAAATGCTAGTACTTATCTATAAGTTCACCCTCCACTAAGCCACTGAGCATTCTAACCTTAGACACAAATTATATGCAACATCAATATTACATTCTCACAAACCCCATATCATTGTTTGCTTAATTCATCAACAAATTATTACCAGGGTTTGCTAATTTCATCAACAGAGTAACAAAATTCAACATTATTGCCAAAAATATTATAAAAGCCTAATATATGGGAGCTTCCTGGTAGAGCCTAGATGGAAACTTAGGAGAAGTGACAAAAACGGTGTTTCTTTTGGTGTAGCCTTTGGTGTTCTTTTGTCCCTCTACTTGGTATCAACCATCGTCACTTGGGAGATGTGAACTGATAATCTGAAAGGTCCTTCCTGCAAATTGCACAGTGCAGAAATAACAGATAAGCAAAACATGTGAAAGTCGAAAAAAATTCAACCATAAGGCAAAAGACAATATTCACCTTTACCCAAAGTCCAGATACTTTGTCATACCAAAATTTCATGGTTTGATGTTTTCTGGCGACAGACAGGTCTGTAACTACAGCGATCTGTAACAACAGCAGCTCCTCATGACATAGAGGCTTTCCGTTTACACAGTTGTACTCGGTTGGCAGCTGATTAACATCACAAAGCTTCTCAGCTTTCAATATTTGTCGAATCTCCAAATCATTTAACAGCCTCTTGAGTATCTTAGAGTGCTTTCCCAAATTCTCTCGCATGGACTCATCAGTGGAATATCCAATGCATGCAACACATTTTCTTCCTTCAGGCATTGGGCCCCATGGTCTTGAGAACACAATTGCTACAATACTTTGCATTGCAGACAATACAAGCCTCTTTTTCAGAAACGATTTCCTTTAAGACACCAATAGCAGACCCCTTTCTTAGATCTAGGCAAAACTTCCTTCTTTTGAGTGAGTCTTTCAACCTCACGATAAACCACCTCCTCATCAACATCATCATATGAATGAGAGTCACGAAAACTCACAACGGGCCTTTTAACATCATTATGAGGCATGCTTTTGCACTCTCTGGTCCTAAAAGAAGAAAGTGAGGAAGACAAATACTCCATGCTTGGCTGACTCCATATAATCCATTTAGCTATTCACCTCATCCTTTTGCTTTCCCTTACTCCACTTCTGCAATTTTTACCAAAAAGAGAGAAGAAAAATCCTTTCTATTAATATTAAACTAAAAGTTACATATAATTGAACAATTAAAATATGGGAGATAAATAATTAAGAAAATTAACCTGCTTTCTGCCCCCGGATATAATTAGTATCCTTCTTTGGAGCCTAAATGTTAATCAGGAAAAAACCCAGAAAATTAAAATATAACATATAATACTGAAATTCAAAAGACAAAAGGACAAAGATAAAATTACTATAAATTTATCAAATTAACCGGAAAAGATATCCAGAAATTACCAAGACAATGTTGAAGCTTGAAAGAACTTTGCGAAGTCTGTCAAAAATTAAACGGAAATCGAAGATTTAAGGTTTCTAAATAATGTTAAAATTAGGGAAATTTTCCCAAGAAAAGCAACAAAATCGGATTAAAGAATGCAAAACAGAGCAAAAATTCTCCAAGCTCATCAAATCAAAGTTCAATTCTAAGACTACCTAAATTGCATCAAGTTTACATAGAATTCATATATAAGACCTGAAAACTAATCATACGAAGTATTTGTTTTAAAGATTATTATAATAGCATGCAATCAGAACAAGTATACTTGAAATAAAAGTAAGTCCTAAGCATATTTAGAGGTACACATACTATTTTCAAGCCAAACATCTGACTACATCATAATCTGCTTTGTAAACAAAGATCATAACAACCAAACTCAGACTAAGAAAATCCATTCACTTTCAAACATGTCAAACACACAAAATAAAGATGGATATAAATTACCTTCCAATGTCACCCACATAATTCACACCCCAACCCAGTACGTGCATAATCCATTTCCCTGCAAGAGTGCACCAACAACAGTCAATATCCAACTATCTCTATCCTTCCCTGATCCACCCTAATGCATATCTTGCACTCCATCAAAATGCAATCTTCTCCCACAAACCGAAAAGGAGATTAAACCTAAGATTTACAAATTACAATAGTTCAATTTTCATGATTAAAGAACTTGAAAAACGCAAATTGAAATGTAATAAGTAGCTTTTCTCCAAAACAATAATTAAACAACAATTAGTTGATATTGTTTGGCAATATCAAATAAGATGGTTTTTCTAAACCAACCCATCAAAGCAAGGGAAGGTAGTATAATGCTCGATGATGATTTGGGTATGATAACTTAAATTCCATATGTATCTCCACTTAGGCTCAGAATGCCATGTCCAATATATTGATGTATCAGCTCAAATAGTGTTCAGATTCTTCGCAGAGCTCTATTTACCCGTTAATTTCTCCAATGAAAAGCTCTGTTAACATAAATTTTTGACAGCTACATTAGATGCAGAATTGCAGAAACACATTAATATTCCATCTTTTTCTAGGGAGAAGGCAAATCCTAGAACCCCTGGCCTCTAATCAACTAACCTATCCAGCCTTCTTATGAATCTTTATCAATACCTTACTGCCTTATGCATCTACGAGAAGGAAAACATTTATCATTGCCACAAATTATCAATTTTAGACCTCAAGATAATTGGGGGAAAAAAAAAAGAAAAGAAAAGAAAAAAAAACACACACACACACACACACAATTAGAACAAGAGAGATAATAGAACGAAACATGTGTTAACTTCAATGACATGGTCATTGTGGACAATGAAGAAATTCCCATAACCTGCGAAATTGATGTAAATCCATGAAAAAACCAAACAAGAGATACTATACAGAGAAATATTGAAAGAAAATAGAGGAAATTAACAAAGAGTAAGAGAGAAATTGGGTTTTTTTTTGGAGAAAGAAGATGACTTTTAGTTAATTTATTGAAAATGAATGATGCATCAGCACGATGCTTTATAGGTGCAGCGATTCAGCCTAGGTTGAAGTTAATTTTCACTGCAAACGTAAACAAGAAGAAGAGATTTTGAAAATTGATAACTAAAGTTCAGAAATCCACAGTAAAAGAAACTATACAGACCCAATTAAATGCACCTCTAATAAGACTGAGTTCATGGCAGTCTCTAGGCTGATAGGTATAGTAGATGGGTAACTTTCACGACTTTTCGATTGCATGATTTTTTTTTTTTTTTATATTAACCATTAGTTGTGATGTTAAATTTAAGTTTATATTCTACCATAGTTCTCAAATTAAATCAGCTTTCATGGTACTTAACCACCATTGATAACATTGCATGCATAAATCTGAGCAACTTGCTATAGGAATCAAGGTAATGCAGATAAATGTGGTAATTGTATTAGGATCTAATTAGTTTCAGTCTTTGTTAGAGTTGGTTGAGTGGATGTTCAGTACTCACTTTGATTATTGCCAGTATATAATTGCAAAAGCAGATTGGGAATATCATTAAATGCAAACAAACAATTATAAACCCAAATACAACTCATTTAAAAATACAAATTAGAAAATCAAACACCCAGATAAATTCAAAAAAACAGACCTCAAAAATCCAGCACCCAGAAACTTAAATCAATTTAACACAACATAAATTTAAAAATATAGAATGAAATCAACTCAAACAATCATCATTTACAACACTCAAACGGAAAAAAATATTTAAATTTGCTAAATGTAGGAATTATATTTAACGGATGAAAAAAAAAAACCTTTTGAAGATTATGAAATTGGTATTCGATGAGATTAAAATCTAGAAATCCATGAGCTAATGCTGAAAAATGGATCATCAAAACAATGAATCAAGTGAAAATGATAATAATTATTATGGAATAATCGGAATATGCAGTGCTATTTCTTGCCTGAATTCTTTGAAAAACCCTCAAAAACACCCATTTCTAGAGAGAGAAAGTGAGATGAGAGAAAAAAGGAGTAGTAACAACATTCAGCATTTCTCACTGAAAATGGAGGGAGATGCATCTCTGTGTTAGGGTAGAGAGAAAAGGTAGGAAAATGCATGGATGTGATAGGAAAGCGAGAAAAGCAAGGGAAAAGGAAAGGAAAGGACAAAATTGAGGGGAAAAAAAAAACACCATTTTCAAGGTCATAATTGGAAGTATACTACAAGCAAAGAGCATCTCCATTGCAAACCAAGAGCTCAAGAGTACTTGCACTTTTTGAGGGTTCTTATTGGCACTTTATTACTAAGGGAAAAAAAAACTCATAAGTTCTCACTTTGAATGGTTACTAGTCGTCCTAACATGCACGATAGTCCGCATTTTTTATTTTGCCATAACTTTTATTTTAATTAGATCTAACCGATTGTAAAGTGTTTATATTGGAGATTTAATAGCCTTCAAAGATATCTATTACTGTATGTATATAATGATTCGGGATTTTCCATTTGGTACCACTATAAATATGTCTTTTCCATATGGTACCCAAATTTTTTCATTCTTCTATGTTATACCACCGAAGATTAATGTAAATTATAACCGTAATACTCTGTTAGTTATACTTAAAGTTTCGTTAAGTTACTAGATTTCCTATTTGCTCTTTCCTGAAAATGATAAGTGGGGTTCTCTTTTGGCAACTCACCTCACCCTTTACTTTTTCTATGGTGTCTTTCTTCCTCCTCTAATGTATGGTCTTTAATGGCAAAATGAAGCTCATCCTCATCTTGCTCATCCTTTTCTCTTGCATGCTTTATTCTTCACGAAAAAACCGACCTTGGCTTCAGTCTTTTTGTTCCCTCTGCTTTAATTTCTGCTTTATTTGTTCTTTCATTTATGCTTCTTCCATTGAAATTTCTGCAGTTATAGTTTTTATTTCTTCTGGTAATTGGCTTTTAATATGCTTCTGTATGCTTTTTGTTTGAATTTGTTGTCAATTTCATCGTTGTAGGCTGATTTCATTTTTGAATTATATGTTTGATGTTATTAAGGCTAGGCTGTTAGTAATATTTGCGTTGATTTGGCTAATAATTATGTACAAATTAGCTTAAAATTTGGTGAAAAATAGATATGAGCTGTAATTTGGCTGCAAATCAGCTTAAATTTTGATGTTTCCTTTGATAATTATCGCCATATTTGATTTTGGAGGGCTTAGATACCTTGTTTTGACGGAATCACTAAACAACTTATGCAAAAATAAGGTAAGGATGACAAAGATTGCTTAATGTGTGGATGGTAGATGACATTGGGTAATCAAACTGAGCCCTAAGGGGCCGTTTGGTTCGCACGGGGTAAACGGAATGGAATGAACAAAGGGAATGTAAGATAATGGAATGAAAAACCATTCCATGTAGTGTGTTGTTTGAATCGAAAAAACAAAGGGACTCACCGGATTTACCACCACCACCAACATCACCACACAACCCCTTTTTCCTTCACTTTCCCACTTCTCCAGCCACCTCACCGCCAGCCACCACTTTGTCGAAATCTCCCGGAGCCCATCGCACAAAACCTTCCCCTAACCTATTTCACCATTCCTTCATTCTCTAGCCATTGCCGTCAATTCTAAGCTCATAAACCATAATTATCTATCATCAATACCTTCCAAACCCTAGAAAACCCCAATTAAGAAATCCAACAAATTCTCATTTTTCTTCAATTCGAACTTCGCTCGATCGAAACAGGGGTAGCGATGGCCGACAAGGGGTCGGGGAAGATTTTCGAGGGATGGGGGAGGTGTGAACAGGGGAAGTGAGTTCCGACGAGGGGTTAAGAAAGATTTTCGAGGGAGATGCGAGCTTACCGGAGGTCGGCAAGCGGCGGAGAAGGGACCGCGATGGCCGGGGTAGGGCGACGAGGTGGATGGGTGGTGGCAGGGTGGCTAGAGAGTAGAGTACTGCCCTCTCAGTCATTTTGGAATTTTGTGTAGAGCAGCAGGTGGCTAGAGACCAGAGTACTGCTGACCATGACAAGGCAGTGACACCAAAACCCCCCACCCCCGTCCCCCCCCACTCCAATGTCAATCAGACATATAGCGCAGTTTGCAGAGGAACAGATAACCCACAAAAAGAAGGAAAATGAGTGAGATGCAGCGATCGTGGTGGAGAGAAGACGGGGATCTTAGAGGAGGGACTGACAGGAACAAGATGGAAGAGAAGAAAAACAGACGAGGGTTTGAGCTCTTCTTTTGTCAGTTAAAAAGGGGTCTGAAGTTTTACTAAATAAACCCAAACATTTGTAATTATGTATGCGTTTCTAGGTATCACCCGTACCAATTTTCCAAACACCACCTATGTGATACCACATGGTGAAACAAACATCCCACAAGTTTTATAAACAATACAGTGTTACATGAGAGTTAGTAGTTAGGTGTAAAAATACTCAAAAAATGATACAAAAAATACGGAGTCACTACTCCACCCTAAAATTTTGCTATTATATATTTCTATGGACACATTGTCACAACTGCAAAGGTTCTATTTTCGAGTTGACATCCCTACAACTAAGACCTTAGAGAATATTTCATAGCAATTTCCATAGTAGTATTGGATTATATCAATAAGAGTAAGAACCTATAAGATTATAGGAGAACACTTCTATGACAAATTATCATACCAGTCAAATCTCATAGATAGATTAATATTATGAAGTTTGTGGAGTAACATCTCAGATACATGTCGGGAAAAGATAACATACCAGGTTATGAAGATTCCTACCAGAAAAGGGAACAGCCGATAAACCATGTTTGTACACACTGTCAAAAACAAGAAAAGAAGAACATAAGGGGCATGGAGTAAAAACTCAGCCGTTACGTCGCGAATCGGCCGAGATGTAATGGATTTCAAAGTTGCCAATCCGATATTTCCCGATTCACAACACTGTTTTTTGAAACCCCGAGATTTCGGCCGGTACGGCCGTTTTGAACAGAAAATCGGCCGCATCAAACGTTATTTACCGAGATTCGAAGAAAAAAACCCAAACTTTAAGCTGTAGAACCACTTTTCCGGCGAGGATTTACGGCATCTCTATGAAAGTCTACTGTTTCTGCCGAATAAAAGAGATTTCTTTTTATTTTTTTTATATTGGAGTGTTGGGTAATAAAGTATGACAGCTGTTACCCTACAATATTCTTTAGTTCCTCTTTAATTTTTATCTTGACCCCACCACCTAACTACCCTTTCTCTTCCTTTATGAGAGAGCTCCACTTAATCTTCGAGATTAACATTCCAAGTTAATCTCCTCTCACAATTTTATGCATTTGTTTTCGTGCCACTTTACTATTTCACTTTTATTATTTTAAAAATAAAAGTAAAACAATATATTGTGAGAGGAGATTAACTTTTCATGTCAATATCAGAGATTAACTTGAATTCTCTCATATTTTATTTACTTGTATTTTTATTTAGGAAAAGTCCATTTTTAAAATTTAATTTTTTTTAGGAAAAGTCCATTTTTAAAATAAAATAAAATTATTGCGCGATGAAGTCCGCAACCAACGCATCAAGTTCGTTTCCGAGATCGCGACCGAAACCGCATTTTCAAACCATGATAAGGGGTAATGTAATCAAATCAAATGTATGGAATTATGGAAAAAAAGTCAGCACTAGGTCATACAAAAATGAATTTGGGGTGGCCAATCATGAGTATAGCACAGGCATGGCATGACACCAGGGTTGAATGGAGGCCATATATAATGCCTAGGCCAAGGTTACAACAGTGTAGTACAAATTAAGAAAAATGAGTGTTGGCTCAGCTTGGGCATAGACTAATTATTTTCATACTACCATCAAGATTGTAAAGTTTAGCAGAGAGAGGAATGATGAAAACTGATGCACTAGGTTGTGCGCAATGCAAAAGCCAAATATTTCTTAAGACAGTTGCCAACAGGCGACAAGTGACAACGAACTACAGCAAGAAGCACGGGCAGCATAGACCCACTCTTAACTATGCATATAACGCCATATTGCTATGAACCAAGCTAGTCAGCAGCCACTCAAAGTGTACACGCGAAAGCCCAAATCAGAAGCACAAGGCACAAGCAGAGCACAAGCACAGCAGCAGCGTGACAGCAACAAGACAAAAATTGACCACTAAGAATTATGGGAGATGTCTGAATTTATGTGAAAGCCACATAGGCAGTAGATGACAAAAATATTGATTATATTAAGGTAATTTGTAAGAGTAATGCTTGGTATAAAAGGGGAAAGTAGGGTATGAGAATCTTATGCCGATTTTGATGTTAATCATAGAATAGTAAGTAGCAGTAAGGTACTCCAAGTTCAATCTTGAAATTAGCCATCTTTATTTAGCTTAACCTTGTAGCTGTTATTACAATATTAATCGAAAAAAGTTCCAAGTTTTTTCCCTCTATTTCGTGAGTTACTCTTACATTGAGTGCCTTGAGTTCCGAGTCTACAACACATATTACGATTGAATGTGATACATATATATTACGATTGAATGTGATACATATATATGCCACCCTCATCCCCTCATTTAAACTACACCCTAACATTGTAAACACTTCAAAATCTCATCAATAGATTTTTTATAAAAAAACCACTAATCTTTTCTTTTCTTTTGTTCATACTTGGATGTTTAAACTTAAGATTCTTAATTTATAATGTTGCAACCCTCACCCCTGAGCAGAAAGAGCTCATTCAGCTAAGGAAGAAGGTATTGGAGCTGGAAGCTCATAACCTGAATCGAGAATGGAGTGTGGAGGAAATAACCCCTACTAGAGTCAGCCCGGAGAAGCGAGTCCCACGCAGCAGGTCACCGACCTTAGAGAAAGGACCCAGCCCAGAGAAAGACAAACGAGCGCGAATCCAGGTTGTTCCAGATGATTCCCCATTTTGCCGGGAGATTCTGGAGGAACCAATGGAGAAAGTAAAGATGCCAAGCTGCAGATACAACGGAACCACAACACCCAAAAGCCACATGTCAGCTTTTGAGAACCATATGGTACTTTACACTATGACAGACTCAGTCTGGTGTAAATCTTTCCCGCCGACCCTGGAGGGGCTGGCAGCGGAGTGGTATGGAGCCATTCCCAAATGTTTCATATACTCGTACTGCCAGTTGAAGAGAATGTTCATGGAGCATTTCATAACCCTGGTAGACCGAACCAAGATGACAACCGAGTTGATGTCGTTGGTTCAAGGGAAAGACGAGCCCCTAAGGGAGTTCATCACCAGATTCAACAAGGAGGCAACAACCATCCCAAATATGAGCCAGGAGGTAGCGCTACTAGCAATGCAGAGTGGCTTACTACCAGGATCACCGTTCAGAGCGTATATGGGGCGTAAGAGCCTCAAAACACTTGCTAAAGCGCTTGGCAAAGCACACGAGTTCATCAAAGCAGACGAGACTGACAAAGCAATGCTGGGTAGGAAAGCACCTGGTGACTTTGTTAAGCAGGCAGAGGTCACCCGGGCAGAGAATACACCCAGGGTGGACCAGCCGAGCAGGGCTGAGCAAAACTGCAGAGAAGCAGACAGGGCAGTAGGACTGAGAAGGTCAGACCCAAAGAGAGGGCCAAGGCCTGGGAGGTTCGACCAATATACTCCATTAACCCATTCCAGGTCTCATATATTCAGCGTGAACAAAGCTGATGACAAGTGGCAGAGACCCCCGAGGATGGTTAACAAAAATCGTGATACCAGCAAGTAGTGTGACTTCCATAGGGACCATGGTCACACCACTGAAGAATGCACACATTTAAAGGACAACATAGAAGACTTGGTCAAGAGAGGGTACTTGAATCAGTTTAAGCAGCGCGATGATCCTCCCAGAAGGAGGGATGAGGATAGAGCGGGTCGCCTTGACCGCAGAGGAGGTCATAGGGGCCCAGCCGGAGATAGAGACATAGATGGCAAGCCAGAAGGCAGGGTGTATGTGATCAGCGGGGGCCTAGTACATGGGGGAACAGTCAACAGAGCGCGGGCTGACCTGCGGGCGATGATACACCAAATAAATAACAATGATAAGCGTAGATGGACACCTCTTCCCCCGCAGCCGCAGGCCACGTTTGCCGAGTATGACCAGAAGGGCATAATTTACCCCCATGATGACCCGCTGGTGGTGACAATGAGAATCACAAACTGGGAGGTGGATAGAATACTGATAGACGGAGGCAGCTCAGCCAACATCATATACATCAGTGCGTTCAACGAGCTGAAGTTGGACAAAAAAGACCTGAAGAGGGTGAGCTACGAAGTCACCGGGTTTAATGGATCAGGGCTTACCCCGGAAGGTAAAATCGAACTCTCAATCCGTGTAGGGGAAAGATCAAGAAGGCGTGATGTCCGGGCAGAGTTCCTCGTGATAAACTCCCCTTCACCTTAAAATGTGATCATGGGAAGACCACTCATCCACAAGATAGGCGGGGTGGTATCCACCTATCACCTTGCCATGGCCTACACAACTGATGAGGGACGGTCAGCAAAGCTCAGGGGAAGTCAGAAGATAGCCCAGCTATGTTACATAACCGCCCTAAAGCAGCCCGCAAAAACAAGATAGCAGCCTGGTTCTGAGAGAAGGTCCGCTGAACAACCTGAGAGGAAGTCAAGGAAAAGGAAGCGTGAAGAATATCACAGGGAAAAGGATAAGCAGAAGTTAACAATGGAGAACTTTGACCTTGCAAAAGAGGAATGGTCAGGCCACTTCCCAGTGGGGAGCATGTGTAGGGAATATTTCAAGCGTTAACCCCCTAGCTAGAACCCCACTATGATCATACACTAAAGTACGGTGGCGTCCAAAGGGAAAGAAGATAGAGCAAAAGAGTCGCCAGCAAGTTTTAGGAACTTGTAAACCGTTCACGAGGTGAAGGTTACACCCCTTAACAATCCAAGAGATCGTCAACTCCATAAGGTCTTGAACCAAATAGGGTTCGGGGATGAAGGTACAAATCTAACCTAAAAGAGATTGAACCTGCCCTAATAATAGGCCTCTACTTTATTCTGATCGTATTCATGTGCGCTTTCTGACTAACATGCAATCAATAGGATTAACCTAAACCTGTTTATCTATGTTGGTTGAATATAATGCACAAATAAAAATATTATTGGCGATCACTTGAATTATAATCATGTTAACCCTAAACAAGATTATTAATTATCTTATTAAGCATGATTACAAGTACCAATTCCCTTTGAACATGCATAAAAGGTGTGATCAAGCAATAACAATAAATATCAAGCAACATATTAATCATAAATTATAATCAAAATAATCATAATCATAATAAAAAACAATAATTATTATAACAATTATAATAAAAATAACCATGTTAAAGCATAATGATAGCAAGATCCTAGGCATGATACTAACAAGATTAATAACAAACCCTAGCATGTCACTAAACAATAAAAATCAAAGCTTTAACCCAAACATGATACAAACAATCATAAATATTAGGAAGAACATAAAAGGCATCATACTTTTAATCAAACTTAATATTAAAGTTACCCTAGACAGTACATGATACTAGGAATTTATTGTTGTCACCCTAAACATCAAATTAAGGAAAACATCCTAACATTAGGAATCAAAATAACAATCTAAGCATGATTTCTATATCATAATATCAATTAAACCATTAAAGTACTTACTTGGATGCCTCGTACCTCTTTCTAATAACAAAATACACACGTTAGTAACTTCAAGGAAAATAATAATTAAAACAATTAAATTAAATAATTGAAATAGAGATTTGGGACCAAACCCTCAGAAATTAAACCTTTCACGTCTAGGGCGAAGGCAACTTTGAATATGGCTAGGTGTTTCTAGATCTAATGAGTGCGAAATTTTTATATTTGTGAAAATCTAGTTTAGAAAAGAGAGAGAGAGTAATCAAAAAAATTTGATGAGAGTTGGTAAAAATAGAGAGAATCGGTGATTGTAGGTGAATGTGGATGTATCAAAACGGAGTTTTTACGACGTTATTTATAAAGAAAATCAGCTTAAAGATAAAATATCAAAACAGAGTTCTGGCGCAGATAAGAATTAATTAGCGCCAACGCTGGATATTGGCGCCAGACACTAACATTGGCGCCAAGCGCCAATGCTAGCGCCAGGCGCTACAGCTGGCGTTTGGCGCTGATTCAGAAATTCATGCATTTTCTTTAAATCAGATAAAAATTGCCGTACAGGAGGATAAAATTGTATTTTCCTCAAAAATGCTCTTTGATTTTAATTAAAACTCTGAAAAGTCAACAAAAGTCTATTTATCAATGCTAATTGAATTAGGAATGAAAAGAACCTTCTAGAAGAATCTAGAAGACTAAAACCATTCCTAATTGCATTAGGAATGATAAATCTATATTAGGCCCTCCCCTAGATCATTGGGCCGCATATAAGACTCAAACCGGACCCAGTTCAGTAATTTGGCCATAATTTCCTCAATTTTCATCGGAATTGGGCTTATAATATATCGTTGGAAATTTCTTGTCAAGCCCCATCCAACTACACTACTATTGGACCCATATCATGGACCAACCAAACTGGATTGGCTGTTTTCTTAAAATAAGTTTTCAAAAACAGAGAGAAGAGAAAAGAAATTAAAACTATCCGCAACACTAAACTTTCCACACTTTCGCTTCATTTGATTATGATTCGACGGGAAAGGTACTCATTACTGGGTTTAGTTTTAAGGAGACACAAATGGGTGTCTACAGAAGCCCCCACTTTGACCGAGTTTGTAGATACGCGAGTTTCGAAAATAAAATTCAATGTATCGATAGGGACAGAGAATGATTCAGAATGTTCTGCGATCCTAAATCACTCTTGTAATGCCGATACCTGCAAACTAGCGTTAGTTAAACAGATAAAAGAGTTAAGAAACGCGTATCTTGCACCTTCGAGCACACGTCTCTGAAAGTAACCGATTTGCTGCCGTATTCTGTTTTGATGACCTCCTGCCAAGAGAAAGCCATCCCGCTTGAAAACCGCTATGCTTGTAACTGCCTCCAATATTGAAGATTTCTTTGCTTGAAACGATCCTCTTCCACTTTGATAATATTCCACGTCCAAGGGAATACTATCGAAGACAATTTGGCTTGAAATCACCTTCAGTTGTTTGTGACAAATCTCCACAATCTATGGGGAAGCCATCTTGCTGTTTCGATGTTCACTCGTCTCTGAACAAAGAGCTTATTTTTTTTATATGTCCACACGCCTCTGAACAAAGAGCTTCTTTTTTTGATATGTCCACGCGTCTCTGAACAATAGAGCTTCTTTTTTTTTTAAAATATGAACTTCTGAATGATGTGTCCACGCGTCTCTGAACAAAGAGCTTGATAATAGGATGCCCACGCGTCTCCGAGCAAAAGAGCTTGAAATACATGTCCACGTGTCTCTGAACAAAGAGCTTTTGAATGATATGCCCACGCGTCTCTGGAGCAAAAGATCTTGAAAGAAATGTTCACGCGTCTTTCAACAAAAGAGCTTGAAAATTGGATGCCCACGCGTATCTGAGCAAAAGAGCTTGATACTTGAACGTTTGTTGCGATAATATTCTGAAGAAAAATTTCCGAAGACCAACGCTTGTCGATCTCTAAAGCTCGCTCGAACTTTGCTTCCGCTATGCCAGTACGTCGGTGTCTTCGTGATGAGCCAATTCTTAGGCGCTTTAAGCCAAGTGAGACGATCTTTCATCAGGTCGATCACTTATTGTGATTGTAATCAAACTGACTACTTAATCATGTCAAATCGCTTATAGGGGCTAACTGGCGTACCCAAGGAACCCGAAATTGCTGTATGAGGTCGACATAACCTTTCTGAGAGGTTTCGAGCTCTGTCGCTGCTGAAATATCTCTGGCGCCAAGAATCGGCTCTGTCGTCAGACACTGTGATCTAGCGCCAGGCGCTAAAAACTATTGCCAGACACTAGATGTTTTCTTCTGGCGCTGGAGTAGGGTCCTCCCTATTCTGCTGCACCTGTATTTATTTTTTACTATAGGACTTTGCTAATCTCTTTAATTATCTTAAGGTTGACCTAAGGTTTAGCATTGCTTGACTCATTGACTTGACACGACTCAAGGCATAAACTTGACTCGCTGTGATTGACTCGAGGTTGACTCGACTCGAAGTGAAATGACACGTGTGACTCATGACCCGTGTGTGCATTGTATTATGATTGTGCGACTCGAAAATACAAAAAAGCAAAAATTTTCCGTCATTTTTGTGGAGGGTACCGACTTTCTCCCGAAAAAGAAAGACGCGAAAAAAGAATCGAAGTGTTTGAAGGTGCATGTTGAATGAGCTTAGTCAAATGTTGTTTGATACTATCTCTTAAGGTGCAAGGATTAATCAATCCTAGGCTATCTCAATGGTTGACTCAATGATGAAAGCATTTGGGTGACTTAGGCACGGAGGCTAAGCACTTCATACTTCGTGATACAATGACAATTATGATTGATGAGTGATGTTGTTATGACAAGCCATGCCTCAGCGTTGTGTTAAGATTTCATGACAAAGGGTTCCTAAAAGGAAAGTATATTTGTTCATGTATCTGTGCGGTGTGTGAAAGTGACACTTAGGCTAGGCCGCAACAGCTAAGTGTGTGGAAAGATATTATTTCTTAAAAGAGTCAACTGGTGGTGACTCTTAGGCTAGGTAAGCTAATAATGTAGGGATCAAGCCCCCAAGTCTAGCTCTACATGAATAGGAATGAGCATTGGAGATCCCTTGATATGATCATGGTGTGTGAATGCATATTTATTACGGCCGCACCTCGATGTGAGGTTGCCTATGTATCCGTTAGGAATCAGGCTGAACGTAGCTCTAGCCGAACCTCGCACAAGTGTGTGTACCTCAAAAAGGTCTTTTTAAGGGTTGTAATGTGGTTAGGCTAAAGTTATAGAAGAGGGGGATAAAGGCTCAAGACCCTAGATAAGCCCCCAAGGTGTGCAACTTTGTTTTTGAATATTTGTATTTTCATGCTTGAGGTTTTCTACTCTTTTTTTAGCTCTTTTATTTTTTTGCTTTAGCATTTATTTCATTTTTATAAGTGTGGGCAACCCGATCATGCGGTCTATCACTCACTTGGCATTCATGTTTCTTAGGCACGGTACCGAGCACTCGATAAGAGACGCAATCTGAGACGTGTTCATATCGAAGACATGTTTATGTCAAAGACATTGGAACACTTGCCCGTTTGTACACTTTTATTATTTTCTATTTATTTTTTATTTATTTTGATCTTTAGAAACACTCAAGCTTTTTATGATATTGAAAACTGCATAAGTTGCACACTATACCATCCCAAGGTTAGGTAGATGTAGGTTGAAGAAAGAAAGGTCTATCGTTAGACGAGGCTCAAAGTGGTTTATGAAGAAAGGATTGTA